TTGATCCCCATAATGGATGTTTTCCTTGTTCTCCTGGAAGTAAATAATGTCCATCACTTCCATCAAACATATTAATTCCATCAACTACATTTGCAGATGTATGTGAATGAACAATATCTAATAATACAATAATTCCTTCTTTATGACATTCATCAATTAAATGTTTTAATGCATCAGGTGTTCCAAATCGTGATGATGCTGCAAAGAAATTTGTAACTTGATATCCAAAAGATGCATAATATGGATGTTCCATAATAGCCATTAATTGAATCGCATTATATCCAACTTTTTTACAATATGGAACAATTCTTTCTCTAAATTCATCATAACTTGCTATTTTCTTTTCTGGTGTACAAATTCCAACATGACTTTCATATATTTTTAATGCACTTGGAATTTTTGGTTTTGGTGATGTAGGAATATATGGATGTTCTGGATTATAAACAACAGCTTCCATTGATGATGTCTTAGGATTAAGAACACAATATCTATGATATGTAGGAATTCTATCTAATCGTTCTCCAGAATATGTGATACCAAATACTTTTATTTTACTTAAATGTTTAATTTTAGATTCTCCATTTTCATCTGGAATAAACCCATTGTGTGTTCCAAATTCATCACGAGTTAATTTAATAGCTGTGGCTCTATCCCAATTATTAAAATCTCCAAATAAATACATTTCTTTAAAATTAGGTGCCCATTCTCTAATACTCCATCCTTCTACTTCTTTTCCATTTTCTTTTTGTACTGTTCTATTTAATCCATATCGTTTGTATGAATTAGCAAATTCTTCTAATGATCCTTCATTATGTTCTATTTTTGAAAGAACATCAAGTGTTTTCTTTTGTCTTCCATAAATTGTTGCAGCAAATGGTTCAAGATATGGATCATCTACAATCATTTGTAATTTTGTTGACATCTTTAAATTATTTATGTTTATTATTTTCTAGATTTAATTAAATAGTTAGTGTCTATTCATATCCTTTTCTTTTTTCTTTTTTTTTTAATTTAAATACTACTGTATTCATTCGTTAATCTGCGATTCCTATCCCAAACATCAATTACTCTCTTCTACTGTTTAATAAAATCTTTTGAAACTAAAGGCAGTTTACTCTTTGGTTAAAGAACTTTATCTTTTTACAAAAAAATTCACATTATATTTTTCCTTTATTAACCAAATATTTGTTTGTATTTCTAAAAATTACTTACGTGCCTCTCTTTTCAAAAAATTGACATAGTGAAATTAAAAACCACAAATCAAAAAAAAACGAAAGTTCATTGAGAATTTTCATAGAACTATAAAAACTGAACTAATAATATATATTATTAATTTACTATTTTTTATTAAAAATAAAAAAGTTTGATGTTTCTCTTCATTTATAATTCTTTTTAATATATTTTCTAATTAAAAAAAAGAGAAAAAATTTATAAAGTATGAATAAAAGAATAGAAAAATAAATTATTTAATTTATCTTAAAAAAAAAGACATTAAAAATTTTAAAAAAGGATAATTAAAAAAAAAAGAAAAGAATGAATATTGAACATGATGAAGTTGTTAGAACAAATAATGTAATTGAAACACCCTCATGGAGTAAATTTGACCCACTTTCTGTAGAACAAACGTTATCAGAAGAAAATACAGAAGATGATATGTATGCAGAATTACATGTTCCATTTGAAGAACATGAAAGACGTCGTTATGTAATGACATCTTTGAATAATGAAGATCCATTCGTTGTTGGATTTTCTGCTATTCAATTTATGAAAATTGAACCAAAAGAAGAACTTATACATAGTTATAAATATCCACCTATTCGTCCTTTAAATCCTATCTTAGCTGATATTAATGAAATTAACTCAAAGAAATGGTCTTGTTCTGTACAAAATGGTTTTAATGTTCACTTTAAGATATTGGAATAACATTAAATAGTTATTTTGTGGAATATATAACAATTATTAATATAATGTTTTTTTTTTAATTTTTATTAAAAAATTATATAAAATTTTAATATTTAAAGAAATCTCATTAATAAAAAGTATAATTTAAAAAAATTTAAATTTCTTTTAAAGAATACTATTTGAAATTATCTTTGTATATTTAAATTAAATAAAAATTGAATTATAAACAAACATTAAAAATGAAAATAATTAAATATATTAATGAATGGTTTTATAAATAATTTTTTTTGTTAGTCAATGTAAATATCAATTAGTTTAAAAAATAACATAAACAAATGATATTTTACAAAATAGATATAAACATAACTATTAAAAAGAAAAGAATTAAATATATTATAATATAAATAATAATAATAACTATTATAATTTATTTAATTTAAATCTAATGAAAAAAAATTAAAAAATAGTTTATTTTACTATAACTTTATTTAATTTAAAATTATTTGTTAAATATTGAATTTATTTCCAATCATCAGGGAATGAAATACCACCAGACACAGGTTTAATAGTATATGACCTATTTAATCGCTTCTGTAAATTCTTTCTTCTTGGAGAAGGTTCAGCCATAATAACACCAGAGTCAGTATCCATTCCTTGGGACAATTGTAAAGAAAGTGATTGAGGTTTTCCTCTACAAACTGCTTGAATATTATGTTTATATGGGTCACAAGCTTTATGGATGACTAATTTACATCTAATACATTGGAAGCTATCTTTTTGTTTTACTGCTTTCTTACAGAAAACACATTTTGGAGCTTCTTCTACACTTGGAATAAAAGCATGAGATTTATAAGTTGTTTGAAGGAAATGTATTTGTAAGTCATCAGTACTTGCCCAGAATTGGAATATTGCAGAAGGAGGATTACCAACTTGTACTAATAACCCAGTAATTAGACTGACATCTTTATTAGTAGATAAATCGAAGGTTTGAGTAATTTCATAAGAGGTAGAATCAATAACATTTAATTGATTTGTATTTAGTCCAACCCAAACACTATTACCACATTCAATAATAAATACAACATCATCAAAATCAAATGATTTTAATATTTGTAATTTATCATTATAAACATTTAATTTCTTTAAATCTGGATAAAATGCCCATAAAGTATTATCTATTACTGAAATATGACTTGTTTTTAATTGAATTTGTTCTTCTTTTTTTAATGCTGATTTACTTTTTAAATCAAATTTACTTATTCCAGAATTTGTACATACCATTAATATATCATCTTTTACTAATAATTGTTTTCCAGCAACAGGAATTCCTTTATATTTAAGTATTTTAGTTGTAATTTTATCTTCTTTAATTGTATATCTAACAAATTCACTAGATATTAATAATAAATAAACACTATCTTTATAACTAAAGAAATCTACAATTCCTGGATGTAATGAATCTTCAAATATGATTGGTTTAAAAGTGTCTGCATTAAATATTAATATTTTACCATTTTTCAATGACACATAAAGGTATTCATTAAATATTTTCATTTTAATTATTTCTTGGTTATATGTATTTGTTGAAAGTATTTTTGTTGGTTCTTTTGCATCTACACATCTTAACCATCCAATACATGAATCATTAAAACAACTCATTGCAATATATATCTTATCTTTATATTGAACCATTCCATTTACTTCTCCTGGCATTTTTATTACATCACCTTTACTTTTTTCTACTTTTTCATGAAGTTCTATTTGTCCAACTAATTCATCAAATGCAATTGGTGTCATTGTACCTCTTTTACTTTGTGCTTTTGATCTTGAAGTAGATAAAGTTGATATTTTATCTTCTGATGGACTTACAGATGTTTTATTAAGTTCTTGTGTTGGAGTAGAAGCACCAGAGTTATCTTTACTTGATTTAAAGAATGCAACTAATGTTTCTGATCTTTTTGGTTTAACTTTATTAGGTAAAGAAGCACGACTTCCACCTTTATCTAAGAAAGCTAATGTAGGAGTTTTAGTTTTTAAATTTTCATGTAATTGAACACGAGAAGAGACAGATGAACGATGATCTGACTCATTTAATTTAATAAGTTTTTCTGATTTACCAGGAATAGTTTTAGAATTAGTAAATGGTTCAGTAACAAAACTTATATTATTTTGTAATTTATTTTCTCCATAAACTTTTTTAACATTTGGATCTAATGAATATTTTTTTGTAAAATTACAAATTGATTCAAGTAAATCAAAATATTCTAATACTTTATCATTCTTCTTTTTTAAATAATCTCCATATAACTTTGATTGTGCATAATGCATTATAAATGTTAATAATGGGATCTTTTCATTTCCTTCTAAAACACTTTTATTATTTGATGACCATTTTCTATATGAATTTTGTAATACTCTAACACAATCATCTTCTATTTTCATAAACATTCTTGGGAAATATACTTCTTCTTTAACATATCTATTTAAATCTTGAATACTTACTCTTGATACTTCTCTAAAATGTCCTTCACCACTAATTCTATTAACAATAGCTAATGCATCAACCATCATATTTTCTTGATAATTTCCATTATTAATCATTTTATTTTGTTTATTCATATTTTCTAATACTACTATTTTCTCTTTTAATTTATCACTTTCATTTTTAACTTCATCATAATTTTTTGTCACTTCTTTTAATTTATTTTCTATTTCTCCTTTTTCTTTTAACATTTTTTCTCTTTCTAATGTAAGATTTTGTGTACTTTCCATTACTTTCTTTTCTAATATATTCTTTTGTAATACTAAGTCTTCTCTATCTGTATCTCTATTTTGTACTGCATCAACTTTTTCTATTTTCATTCCTTCCATAGTAACTCTTAATAATACTTCTAATTCTCTTTTTCCTGTTAAACTTAATTGTTCATCATTCATATTTTGTTTAATGGTTTGTAATTCTTTTATTGTCTGAATATGATTTTTTGTTTCTTCATCAATTCGTGTCATTAAATCTTCTTTTTCATTTTTTAAATTTTTTAATTCTCCAATTAATTGTTTTATTGTTCCAACACATTCTTGTATTTTATTTTTTAATGACTCATTACTATCTCTTTCATCTTCTAAATCACTTTCTAGTCTACATATTCTAGCTTTATCTCTTTGTCTATCTTCTTCAACAGCATCTTTATAACTTTGTAATTGATTTTTCATTGTTTCAATCATTTTTCTATAATCAATATCATCCCCTATTTCTTGTTAACTTCTCTTTTTTTCTTTTTTAAATTCAAAATTTTTATAAATACTTTTGAATTTTCTGAAATTATAAAACCTTCAAACCTTCAGAATCTTCTTCACTTTCATAGCTTGACTCACTATATTCTCCTGTAGTTGATTTTGATTCAGAACTACTCAAACTTTCTGTATTTTGGTCTTTATCATCTTCTTCATCGCTAAATGAATCTCCAAGAAAGTGTTCTTCCTGTGGTGGCCCTTTCTATTCCATTATTTTTCCTTCTTTCTTATGGAAAAAATTTGAAAACCCTGTTTCAACGGAGTGTGGAGCAAACAAACTTCTGTCATGAAATGAACTGATAACTAAAATAAAAATAAGATATTAATTTCCTGCTATCTTTTTTCTTTTTTTTTTCTTTTGGCTCTTAAAATTATTATTTTAATTTCTCTTTCTATATATTTTTCTTTATTTATAAATATTATTTTGTTTTATATACCATTTTATTTTCTTAGTGTAAATAAGTTATTTATTGTTTATTGAAGTTTCTTGTTTCTTTTTTTTTATTTGACAACATTACAGATCATACAAAACAAGTCTTTAATAAAAGAGTATTTGTAGAATATTAAAAATATCATAACTCAAAACTATCATGGGGATAAAACCATATTATACAAAAAAATACAATAACTTAAAATTTTAAATATATGAAATAATCCTAAATATTGTTTTAAGAAAAAAGAGAATAATTTCTTAATTAACAGAGGTTCATACTTATTTTACAGTTTATT